GAACTTCAAAGACAGCCATCTAACTGAATTCATGACCCAAGAACAATGTTAGACTAATGACAATCAACTTTAACCTAATCACGAATAAGCCTTATCCCTACAGAAATAAGAAAAAATGAAAGCTAGAGAAAATTGAAAGGACATAGAGGAAGAATAATTGTTAAATATTTCATCTTAGAATAAAGATATTTATATTTCTCAAGACACGAAAAATCAGCATGATAACATAGCCATGAAGGCACCAAGAGCAGGATGCTCTTCAATCACAACAAAGCAAAATCACAAACTGTGACCAACTATATAAGTACTATAACATTATGTTCAGAGATATAACATCATAGTGTTTCATCTCAAGCTGAACTAACACTACAATCCAGTTATATGTTGATAAATGGCATTTACTGTAATTGTATAGCTATCCACAGCTTTTATTCAACCCAGTATATTTTATCATAGGCAGTATAAACTGTACTGAATCAAAATAAAAGCTCCACATCTAGCAACCAGGTGATCTACCATCTATGTGATATTACAACAGAAACAGCTTCTTAACAAAAGCAGTGGATCAATTCCTGCCCTCATCAGCACAGCAAGGGAACGTAAAATAGCTGCTATTTGACTTTCCTGCTTCAGGAATCCTGCCAAGTTGAGCACAACTGCTCACAGCAAGCAGATGAAGTACATTCCACTAATTCGCACAAGATGCTAATGTTTCACTGTCTGCTTTCCAGCAGCAGACAAAAACCTCTTGCTTCTCAATGTAACTTTGCCCAGCAAAAACAAGATAGAATTTTTCTAAACAAACCTGTTTTTCAAAACAAACCAAATTAAAACTGTAAATAAGCAATTTTTTTCCCTCTATAGGCTTCGCAAATTTACACAGCAGTTTTTAATAAACTTCATGAACAAGGTACAGAACACAAACTGTGCTGACAAAAACATGTCTAAAGATATCTCAAGTAATTGTTTCCTTGAAGTCCTCAAAAAACAAAACTCAAAAAGAGAATACAGATGTACAAAACCACAGCAATTCTCATCTGTCAGCTTGTTCTATAGAGTTTGTGTCTCCATTTAAGGGAAAAACAACAAATAGAGTTATTCTGAAAAAAGTCACAGATACACAGATGAAGGATGGCAATTGCATCTACAGACTGCTTTAAATAATAACTTCAACACATCATTCACTTCAGAAAGGGGCTAACTTATCTACTTTCCAGATCTCATGTAACAACTAAAAGTAAAAACTTGTTAACTATTTCACTTCTCTGCAAAGAAAAGGTATGAGGGACAGCACCTACCATTAATATAAATTCATTGGCATCACCAAATTGCAGTTGAAATAAATTATTTTTATGAGCTAGTCAAAACAACACTGAAGATCTCCAAAAACGTAGGAGTTAACATAAGAAAGTTTATCACAGCAAAAATAATCCCTTCTGTTCAAATTTATTGTGAATTTTACATTATGCTGTTTTGGAAATTAATGTTTGCATCCTTTATTTCATGACTGGAACATGAAAGTTAACTTTTCAGAGGTCCAGTTGAAGATTTCAGCAAATACTTAATCGCATCAAGACTGAAGGACATTTTTCAGCTTAAACTCACTTAACATATATATGTTTCCTTTTCTTGAGCAAATAGTAAGACTAAATTTTAGAGAGAGAGAGATCTAAAAAGATCTAACTTCTGGTTTCTATTCTTTTCAGTGCTTATAAATGACTGAATACTCATTTCCAGCCATCTTTGTAACTTCTGTACCTTGCTTCCTGATTTTGGCCTGCCTACTAATTCTTAATGGTATTCTAATAAGCCTTCCTACAAATATATTTTGATAAAATCCTTACTCCAAAGATTCAGATCCTTTTCAGTCTGAAATGCAACTAAGAATATGTTGGATTCAATGAAGACATTATCAGAGACTTCTACAGCAGTAGTAAAGAATTTTCCTCCTTTGTGCATCTGAAGACAAGATGAATTTTTGAATATTCTGAAGAAAAAATTAAATAGAAACTACACAGCTAAGAAAACAGAAACAAGGTGAGTTATATGTTACTGCCAGAAGGGTATTAGTGATACTGTTCAATGAATGCCCAGTGGTAGAGCCTAATAAAACAAATGTATTCAACATAGAAATTTTTGGTTTTAATACATTTCTCAAGTGTTCTCATATTCCTATACAAACACTATTAAAAGCCCATAAATAAAGTGCTCAAACTGATATTTTAAAAAATGTATACAATAAAAGGAAGAAAACAATAGAAGTAAAACTAAACCCATATTTATTAGGGTTACCACATTCGAAGTTCAAGTTCCCTTTTCCTCTTTTAATGTGCAGCTAGCCAAATCTCATACACCCAACATACACTTTTGCTTCTACTCTTATAATAACGCTTGACCTTTCAGTTCCAAAATGCCAGAATCTATATTGGCACTGAACCACAATCCATCCGGCTGACTGCTACAGCCTGTGCTTATCTCTGGACGAGTCAGCACACACACAACATTTGGTCAGCACATGGCATGATCCTTGCAGACCATGAAAATACTATGTTGTATTGCACCATTGCAAAATGCAAGTAATAATGTTCATTAGGAACACAAAAGCACAGCAGGTGATGTAATATGAGCTGAGTAAACGTCTTGTGTTTCACTAGAAATCTTTTGCTCTAACACAAACTGTTTCAGTTATATTGTGTGACAACTGCAGGTAAAATTTTCTTCACTAAAACTGACTAAGGTGCTTCAGCTACAGTGAGCAACACCTCTCCCCTCTAAGCTCCTGTAGATAATTTTCTACTCTTTCAAGAACTTGTAATATAAACTCTAAATCAGAAAACAATTATACTTACTAATCCTTAAACTGCCAAGAACGTAAGTGCAGTAGGAAAAAAAAAAACAAAAAAAACATGGGTCCTATAAAGTTTTAAGTAAACCACAATGAAAAATAGAAAATGCATACTATTGATTGTATAACCCTGAATATGAGGACTCATGGTTCAGCTTTCTCTACTCTGACCAGTGTTGACCTGAGCAATAAAAAATGAATGCAGTCGATCAGTACAGCTTTTGACATCAGATATCAGTGCCTCAGGGGATACTGACCCAAAGCACAAGGAGTTTTCAGCAGCAAAGCCATTGCAGTAACAATGTGTTCTACTGCCTCTTTTGGACATGACATTCAAAACCAATTACCATAATGTACCTTGAATTACAGAACTTTACAATGTATATTCTGTTTAGTTCTTTATAATGAGGCTAGAAATAAAACACTTCAATCAACATATGCATCTGAACACATACTGTATTTCATTTGTCCTTCCACCACTCAAGCACTCAATACCATACACTGTAGTGCTGACGGCCAATCTCTTCTGTTTCCAGGATTTTTTAATCCCTTAAAAATAAATTTTCAATGCATTTTATTAACCATCCTGAGAAAGACTTATTATGGCCCTGTATTTAGATAGACTTCATCCTTTAATTAAAAAGGAGATAACATATCTACAGCTACTTTGATAGGCACTATTGCCAAAATCCATAATAATTTTAAACTATGTCTGAATATTTTTTGATTAAAAAAAACTATATGCAATAGTTTGAATAATTCCCTAAACATCAGATTGTTTGTACAGTTCTTTCTCATTTTCAGTGTTGCAGAACTGGGAATACTTCCCCCCCCTTACATGACAAGGGAATTGAATGCAAAAATAAATTGCTGCATCTAGTTTAAATTAACTTGGGGAGGACACCAATGCTTTCAAGTGTTTATTGATGAAACATGTTTAATCTGAGACATCTAACTGAAGGTTTACATTTGTAATAGTTCCATCAGTAAGGCATATTGGAAGTATGACATATTAGAAGTTTCATCTGCTGTCCTTTGCTCCTAAAGATTTAAACAGCTACTTGCTTAATATTTTGGCAAACTAGAAGGTATGTGATCTACGCTTCAAAAGCATATAAACAATAAACCAAATAAAGCAATGAAGTCCTTGTTATCTTTCTTCACTGCATCACAGTCACTGATGTGGAGTGATTATGTTCTGTGGGAAATATTAAGTTCAGATTACTGGTATCTTTCTGAAAGAGAAAAACTTGTTTCCTGATATGGAAAAGATGAATGATGACTTGCAGGAATAGCATGCATTATTCCTTATTTGACTTTATCCTATTCTAATCAAAGAATATGGAATAGGGTCCTATACAAGAAAACTGTTTAAAAGCTCCGTTGGCTAAGATTATGTGACTTAACTCTTACTTCCACTCCTTTCAGCATCCATTAGGATTTGGCCTTTCCCTTCACTAATCCTTCACTCTTCTACAGTTGCAATTTTTACTTTCATATGGCATACATGTCTCTGTACTTTTAAGCATCTTTCCAGATGCTCTAACTGCATGTTCCAACTGTAAAAATTCAGCCCTTCAACCATCTTCCAAGTTTTACTTGTCAAATAACACCTTTACATCTTTACAGCTCCACCATTCACTCTACTGCACACCCATGCAAACTCTGCACCATTCCTAGTCACATAACTCGTATCTTCTTACATCTATGCTTTTGACAAGTCCTATTGACACCTAATGACACCTTCAGACACATAATTGTGCTCTCTCCTTCCTCTCATAATTTGAAAAAACAAATCACGTAAAGAGTCAGAGCAGTCTTGGCAAGCATAATTGTGCAGGGCTTTGAAAAAGCAATTACTCTATTTCCAGTGGACATTTTCATAGCACTCTATATAAAGCAAAAGCTTATTAACATTAATCTGTTGCTTAACTAGGAATATGGATGAAAGGGGTTGTTACAAAATATACAGGGCAATAGAAAAAAGAAAAGTCATAATATGCCTATATACATCTGAGAAGGGAATCAAGGAAAAAGGAAATTTTGGTTGTATGGACTCCCACCTATACTAGGTCAAAACCTAATTGGGAGAAAACTACTCTGGATATTTCCATTTGCAAAAGAATGACAGTAATTTTCATTGTTTTTTAGTTACCTGATAAGACAACTTCAACTAGGTCTCCTTCTTGGATATCTGCAGCTGATTTCACCAACTGGAGAATGTTTTCAGAGGTAGGGTCATGGCGGAAGAGCAAGATTTTGTCATACATTCCATAAAAACCACACTCGGGAAACTGCAAACACAAACACAGGAGAATTTACTATGCTGTAAAACACATAACTGTAAAATACAAAACTGTAAAACACAATTAATGTATAATGAGACTTTGAGGGCAGACTGCACCAGTTCTCAAACTGGTATCAAATAGGATATACATTTTTTCATGTATGAAAATATGTATCACCATATTCTGGACATGTTTTTTGCCCCAAGCAAGGAAGCTCATTTGCCTTTCTCTTGTGAGAACAATGCAATATCCACTAGGAAATGAGACAGAAGTAAATGTATCCTGCAGCCACTGCTGGTAACTTTTTCCTCACACAAGTTACTGAGTAAGATGATCTAATTAGACCTGGAACAGGTGTTTGGACTAGATGTCCTTTGGAGTGCCCTTCTAGTCTATATTATATTATTCCTTGATTCTATGATCTCTCCCCAAATGTCTGCCCAAAACATGCTTTGAAGCCAAAAGAAATACATTTCAGCTCTAAGTGCAATGCTTAAATGATAACTCAATATGAAATATCTATTTTTTGAGACTGAAGTTGCCAGGCACATAAAACAATGTTTCAAAACAGTATTTCAAAATTTAATCATAATGATTTGTTTTAATGCAGAGAAATTAGAGCTTCAAAATCAGATTAAATCCTGTTTAAACTAAAAAAGGTTTTTAAAAATCGTGAGGTAACTTTCTTCCTTCCTTTTTTGTTTTCTGCAGCAAAAGAATTAGTGGTTTTTTTCATGCTCCAAGCCTAAAGAACTAAGACTTTATTCTAAAACCACAATCAAGAAACACTTTCTGTGTTACAAAAGAATCCACTCAATTTTACATCAATGCACTACTCCATGTTTTGGCAACACGCAATGAAAAAAAACAATGACAAGTAGAGCCAGAGAAATAAACTGTTATGTTTTGAGGTTATACACAAACACAGTGACACTCCTAAGAATTTTATTTAATAGAGGCAGTGAAATATTATTCTTCAAAATGGGAACTGCTGATCCTTTTCAGAAACTGCAAGATTTTTTTCATTTCACTGGATTTCAGAAATACCACAGGCATTTCTCTCTAAATTCATTATGATTTAAATTGTTTGCTCTCTCTTTATATTCCCACTCTATTTGCTCTTTCAAATAGGTCTACTTTTTCTACCTAAAAAAATAATTTGAAATATTACACATACTATGTATGTATGTAGAAATATGTGTATCATGAGGTACAATCTCTAGAAAATGTAAATTCAATCACAGCAGTTTTTGATAAATTACATACAAAAAATCTCTTCTGCTGGAATTAGTTTTCCCCAGATACACTGTTCTCATGTCAAAACAGTCATTTTGATGGTGCAATTCTTCAAACATTGTATAAGGACCAACTGTTGCCACACTGACAAAAATTCCCTCAGCTAAGCCTATTCCTGCCAACAATAATGCTGATATGCACAGACCAAAGTAAACAAAAAGAAGCCACGATGCCTGGTATTACACCACAATAAACAGCATTCAGTTCTGCTACACATGAGACAAAATAGGGAAACTATGGTACCACAGCTAAATTCCCCAATACTAATAGAAGGCCTTGTTTCAGTATAATAGCTGCTTAAAGCAGAATTACCAGAGTTAAATGGTCATTATAATTAATTGCCAAATGAGGAAATAGGGTACATCTGTAAGAATCAGGAGTGGAAGATTGCTTATATGGGATTCAGAAATAGGATGTATTTCTGGCTGCTTAGCAAGTCATCAGTAGCCATTAAGACATCAAAGCTGTCCATAAACACCTTTAGGCCTACTCCAAGTGTGAGGTAAAATGAATCACTTTAATGCCTTTCAGTGTGGTTCAGTCAAAGGTGCTTTAGTTTATAAGTGAAACTGGATAAATTACCTTTGCAGCATAATAACTTGCTTAACTGCCACAGTTTAGATGTGTATTTAGAACGTGTCCTGCCTCCTCCCTTTTAGAAATAAAAATATCAGATTTTTAACATGATCACTTACCAGCAATTCTAGGTTCCAGATTTAAAATTTAGCAAGATTTCTAAATCAACTCAAGTCTATCCCCAGTCTTGATGTTATTTATTAGATACCCTCTTGTCCTGATTTAAGAAAATGTAAAGGGAAACACTCTAAAATGAGTTCTCCCCCTTTGTTTTAACCAATCCCTTTTCACCAAGGACAAACAAAATATAGTAGATATAAGTGAAAAAATAAATTTACTAACAAGTGAAATTGCAATAGGCAAATAACAGACTTTTATTCCAAACACTAAGTATTAAAAAAATGGTGCCTAAACATTCATACAGAATATGTCTTATATGATACTGTAGCAGCATTTATGGTAACAAGAGGAAGTGTTACTAGCATTTGAAATCACCTGTAATAAGCACACTGAAATTGTGTGCTGCTTTCATTTTCTAAAAATATTACATCACGATTATCTACTCATAAGACTTTAAAGAAATACAAAATAAAATTACGTTTACAGATGAACAAGACTGCTGATCAGGATCTCAAGCAATAATTTGTTGCTGCCCAGACTGTGGGCACTTTGGCAGCAGATCATCCATAAAATACAGGGTAAAAGGAGCCTTCAGCACTAATCTTTCCTCAACAGATAGAAAACAGAAGCAAGCACTGAAGTGTTTTTACCCTCAGCAACTGTAAACATCTCAAGAAAATCCACCAAAATATATCACCAATAACCATATAGAAGCCAAGTGATTATGCAATTCTGGATTTTCAATTAAAAAGCCTTCAAATGATACTACAAAAAAAACCCAAACAGACAAAGAAAACCACCAACAAAAAAACCCCGCATAATAATTATGTATTTGAAAGATTAGCATAGTAATAGTTTTCATAGTCAAATGAAAACCACATGAGAAAAAAACTTCTCCCACCTGTAGAACTTAACCTGGAAGAATTGGAAAACATACGCTCTAAACAATGATGGTGTTTCATTGCAATTAGTAATATTGTCCAATAGTCAAAAAAGTCTGTTGCTGTGATAATTTTGCAAAAATACTTGTTTCAACTTAATAAAATTGTCAACATACAGGCAGTCAGATTCTCACTGCTAAGAGTGAAAAAAAAATTCGTCTTCCTGTTTCTGTCTTTCTGTATATTACTACAATTTTGCACATCTTCTGTAACAGTTAGTTTCTGTTGCTTTATTCTAGGAAGTCAGGAGAATTGTTTTTATATTAGTCATCACTGAACTTTTCCTTAAAATTAAATTTAATTATCTTTTTTAGTGATGACTGATTTTTTCTTCTAGATTAGTTAGATTTTTAGAAGCCCTTAGTGATTACCATAACAGCACCTGCAACAAGAACTTTGATAAAACCTGGAAGTCTTTTATAGCACAAAGATACTGATCCAGCACACATAAGGGCGGTGGGCTAAACAATGTTCTCACAGCATGTGGAGAAGCTGAGTCACACAATGTTTGTTAACTTAACTGACTAAAACACAAAAAAACTGACCTAACCTAAACAAGACTGTTGACCTGACCCAAACATGTGCATAAATAAATAAGTAAATAAATAGTCTTTACATCAATACTACTGTTTTATTATAAAGATATAAATGTACAAAACTTTTGAAACAATCACATTAACCAAACTGAAACATTTTTCTTTTATATTCTTAAATAACAGTGCATTTTAATTTTAGAAGTCAGAATTTCTCTACAGACATCAGAACACAGCAAAGTCATGACACTGAAAAGCCAATGTTTCATCAAGAGGACTGTCTAAATTTTCACTTACTTGTGACAGTCATTATTAACTCATTTGCAAAACTTGGGATTTTTAAAAGGCTCTATTTACCAATGCTATCATGAAAATATTAGTCTTATGCATAAAGAAAATATCACAAGACTTCATGGTTTTGTTGTAAGAAACACCAGTTAGTGTTCAAAGACTTTCTACTGTCTTCTTGTAGACACCACTACAGTTACTACAAACTTAGACAGATGCTGGAGTTTAAACAAAAGTTTACGCTACAGCTATGTAGAATATATGTAACTAGAATATATGTAACAACACCCGAGTACAAAAAGGAGGTGGAGCTGCTCCAGCAGCAGTGACATCTCCACCTCAATTCCAGGATGTCACATTCTGTGCTGAAGACACCTCAGAAATCGTGACTCACCCTAGACCTTTCCAGTAACTGCATTTGCACTTGCCAAGCAGAAAAACAGCAAGGATGGTCAACAAAGTATTCCCTTTCTTTACTTCTTTTTTATTTTTCCCAGGCAATCAGTCTTCAGTTACAGGAAGGAAAAGGGTCAGAAAATAAAAGGAGTAGAACCAATTACCTTGATGCTGCCTATGTTGCAGTACTACCCAGGACAGGCTCAGGTCAAAACCATTTGTCACAGGATCAGAAAAAAACAGACAAATGATAGATGAACAAATATCTTGATTTGGAAAGGCAAAGAGGCAACTGGAGAAATGCTGAAAGGCAAGGAAGAGATGACCAGAGCAAGGAAAATACACTTAGAAGAAAGACTCTGGGAAGATCTCGATTATCTCATGACCCTTGGGGATAGCCAAGAGCCAGATTTACAAGGGTTAAAGTGGTGAATGGGAACAGCAATAGAGGTCTTTGCTCCCTTTTTGCCTTTGCATTCCTAAAAAATGTATTAGCAATTTGCTTCCAATCTAACTATTAAGTGAAATAGACAAGTTGCTGAGAATATACAGTCTAAACCAGCCAGAAACCATTCTCTGGATCCAGAGCTAAGTGGCACTGAAATGGTTCACTGCCACACAGATGACCTCTTTCCCCAGAAAGCAGGGAGATGACATTGCCACTCCTTATTTTAAACAGTCTCTTCTTACACATGCTAGGACCCAATGTCTGGGCATCATCTGAAAGAATGTGATTTGGCACAGTTCAGACTGTGTCAGGAAGCATGCAATTAAACAACTGAAAAGTTTATGTGGTTTTGGGCCAATGCTTGAGCCTGCATTCTCATTTCAGTTTATTTATAAATATATTTTTAGA